TCACGAAAACAGGTTGGTCTCACATGATCCCAAGTCTATATATATATATATATATATATATATATATATATATATATATATATATATATATGAAGAGCAATGTCTGAGAAAGGTCATTTGCAGTGGAGGTACCAACATGGTATAGGACATATAATTGGAGACCATATTTCTCAGACAGGTATGATATTTCTCACAACATTGTTTTGCTGATTGATTGCTTTGTTAGTCAATTCCAATCCCTAATAATTTCTCATTAACAGAAATAACCCTAATTATTAGTTCTGTAGTTCATTATATGATAGGGCCAAGATAAATATTTTGAGAACCAATTGACATTTGGTCTTGCTGCAATGAAGTATATGATGAGAACAAGCAAGTAAGATTGAAGAAACCAAGGTAACAGGCCATTTCACCAAATTGAACATGAAAGGTCAGTTTATTGAATGCAAGAAAAAAAGAAAATAATTAAGACAAGAGCCAGCAGCAAAGAAGGTCGCCAAATATGATTTCCTAATGTATTTGACGCACCTATGATGATACAATTAGGATATAGTCATATAGATGCTTCCGTTTCCAAAACTCCAAATCCAACAACCCTAACATAAAAAAAAAAAAATCGGAATTCACCAAAATCACAACCAGTTTTCATTCGATTTAACTAGAACACATACAAAATTAAGCAGGAAACTAAAAGAATCGAGTATACGAGCGAGAGTGAGAGAGTATATTAGACGGCGGAGATCTTCATACCTGTACTAGTTGTCACGGCGGAGAACGACCCTCTCTCAGTAGAACTTTGCCGTGAAAGAGGAACCCTTGACTACGAGCTCAATACGAAGGAGGACTGAAGGAGGAGGGAAAGGGGTTTTCCTAAACGTTTTCTCTGATAACATAAATTACGTTTTTAGTCCCTATAGTTTGATAAATAACAAATTTTGAAATTAGGGTTTTTGTTTTTATGGTTTACAATTCTTGAACGGCGAATCGGCTTTCCACTTGATTCACCAACTTGCTCGATTGAGTCATCGTTTTTGTCACAAACTACGAGCTCTCGTATCAGCTTACCGGTAAGCATTTAGGTAAACAACTCATAACTCTTATCTTTAAGCAAGAGGGACAAAAAAAACAATGAACTATAAACCGTATAGACAAAAGAATTCAAATCATAAGAACGGAAAATAGTGGCGGACCATGATTTTTGTCGAGCGGGTGCGTCTTCAAATGGGATCAAATGCTCCGAAGTCGTTCAATGTGTTTTTAGCCGAATTCCACATTCGGGGAATTTTTTTAAGTTTTTTGGTTGATTTGAAGAGTGTGCCGACAAACGGAAAAGTCGAACCAGGCTTGAGGGGCAGAGGCTTGAGGCTTTTTGTGTTTGAAACCTCCGTCCTTGTAATTTGTATTGATTTGTTATGCTTTTTTTAATTTACACAATTAGGGGCAGTTTACCAAACACTTACTCGGTAAACGCTTACTGGTAAAATTCAACACTATCACTTACGGACCGGGTAAGATTTTAGTCCACCGAAACGGCATCGTATGCAACAATTTACCCGGTAACCATTTATCGCGTTAAGAGTGGTCGTTATCGCTTACCATGTAAGACTTTCAGTCCTTGTGTTCGCTCTTAGCGGGTATGATTTTTGGTCCATACCATACTCATCCGGAAAGGTAATGTGACTTGATTAGTGCTCATTCGGGTAAGCATTTGGTAAATGTCCTCTTAGTCCTCCGCGTTCCACGATGAAAATTGAAACATTTTTCAGAAAGTATACCTTTAACTCTTGAATTTCTCAAATATCCCAGAGCATCCTCAAACTTTATTGAGTGCACCTTTCGTACCCAAAACAAAATTTCCTTACAAAATTGGATTTTGAGCGGAAGGTTGGCTCTGCATGCGAATTGGATACATCTCACGCCCCTTCATGTCCTACTTTCGAATGAGATATAATAGGCTTTATTTGGTTTGGGTTTCTATACGTTAACTACATTGTAGACCACTGATCGTCCACGAGCAATGACGGTCAGCCGAAATACTTTTAGCCATGATGTATTCTCCGTTGGTCGGGCCTCGCTAGTGCAAAGCTTCTTTTGATTGATAACTTAAGAAAAGGATTCATGTCAAGTTCATCTCGATACATAATCGCATTATCCCTCTTGAATCCGAGGTTACAACTTACATATATGTGTTGTGGGGAGCATTTGGGGACTTTACGGTATGGGTCTTAAGGCAAAGATGTTTTCATCGGTTGGTACATCTGGTGGACCTATGTAGCATCTTCGATCAAATTGAAGGTGTTCCGTTTGGTTGTTGACTCAGTGGAGTTTTGGTCGTTGATGTATTAATAATCTTTTTTTTCTAAATGTGTTTGATATTTGGACCGGATAGACGAGAGCAAGGTTCACAAGTGAAAGAATTATGGAAGATTTTAGGGTTTTAATTTATCATGGGTAGTTTTGTCTCGTCTCTCTGGCTTTTGTTCCACCCGTTTCGTCGTACAAAAAAATGCATTTTTATCCCACTCAACCTGTCATGGACTCTTAGTCTAATGTCATGACAAACATGCAATAACAAATTTGCAGTACCATGTCTCGTTCTATCTCACGTAGAGATGCATAAGGTCCGGGCTTTTTCAGGTCTGATCTCGGGCCTTCTAATCTTGTTTTCAGTGAGCAAAAAAAGGCTTGGGCCCTTTCAGATCCAAGTCAAGCCAGGTCCGGCTTTGGGGTTGAAAAATAGTCTAATCGGGCTTAACCGAGTTTTTTTTTAGCCAAGCCAAATTTTGAGCCTGTTCAAGATTTGAGGCCTGGTTCGGACCAGGATTTGGGCTCCACTAGGCCCGGTTTTTCACACCGGATAGGTTTGAGTTTTTTTGTACATCTCTAATCTCACGCACCAAGAGCACCTGTAATACATAATATAGGGTTGTGAAATATATATATTTATTGCATAAACAGAATTGCTATAATTTCGATAAAATTTTCTATTTGGTACATTAAAGAAGGTATGATAAATAATACCTAATAAAAGGTAGAAACTACAGTGTGTTGCAGGTAAGAGTGAAACTTTACCATCAACGAGTCACGTCGCCTTTAACTTGACTTATTTAGCGATAAATAAGGTATTCTACGACCATAAAATAGAACACCGAAAGGTACAAAGGAGAGGTTTTGTAATGCACTCATCAACTGGATTCGTGGTAAGAAAACGATCGATCAGCAGTCGTGGTGCCACCATTGAGTTCTACAAGCGAAAAAGCAAAACCACAGACCAACTTAGTAACGAATTTCAATATATCCCACTCGAAAGTGTTTTCTACCCCAAAGGGTGAGCAGTTGTTTACATTGTAATAAGAATTATTGGGGGGAGCAAGATAAAGAAAAAAAGGAAAATGCTTTTTTGAGATAACAAAATACAGAAATTTGTGGAACAAAATCAATATCTCAAACATTGTAATAAGAATTAATGGGCAAATGAGTAAATTCAGATTGATATCTTGAAATAGGAAATATAGTATTTATTTCAGGATAATTCAAGAAATAAATTGTTGCATTTATTTCAGACAATGGTTGTAAAAAATAGGTAGGCATTCTGGGTAACTAATCCTCAAATTAACAATAACTTTGTGTTATGGTTGAATCTTGGAGCTTTAGCATATTGCATTCGACCAAGGTTTTAAAAGGCAGAATTGGGACTCGAGGTGTTTTCCTTCCATTCCCCGAGGCATAAGCCTCATGGCGGTCCGAGCGCAAGCCTCGAGGCGTAAAACAAATAAAATTCATTAATTTTAATAGTAAGCAGAATATAATTCCATACCAGACTTTAAACGTCATAGAGTCAAAAATACTAGTTATATGTCTAAAAACATATCAATCCACAACTTATAATTCCCGTAGCATGTTCAAGTTGTCTAGCTCCACAATCGTATCCATAATCACCATCACTTTCATCTCCAAATCCACAGAAAACAGAAAAATAATACAGAAAATTGAAAATATTATAGAAAACAGAAAATAAAAATAATACAGAAAAACAGAAAATATACAAAAAAAAACATACATAACACATTATACATATAGAAATTACATTATACATGATATAAAACATATATTCTTGACTGAAATATATATAAATATAATATAATACATCATACATAAACTAAAAGTATGGACACAAACTCAAAAAAAACTTACTTTTTAGGTTGGCTTTTGAGATGAATATCATCTTGAGAGAGGAAAAAGTAGGAAATGGAGAAGGAAAAAATGGGGTTTGGAGAGGCGTGCGCCTCAGAAAACGCCTCACGCCTCAAGGCACCGCCTCACCAATTGAGGCTTAAGCCTCGTCCAGGGACAATGAGGCACCCCTCATGAGCGGTTTTGGACTGCGTCGCCTCGAACGAATTTGAAAACCATGAATTCGGCCATCAAATAAGGCTTTCACCAAATCCAAGGAGGAATAAAAATCCCCTTGTGGCCATGGAGGTTCAAATGCGGTGACTCCACGCTACCCGCAAAGCAAGTCGTCGCCCTGGGATTAGTCGGCTCACATAGTGCGTTGGATATCCGGGTTAATAAAATAAGGCTTTCATTCATTTTAGGTAGCTCTTCATGGGACAACCTCTCTATCCCTTGGGGTAGAGGTAAGGTAGTAATTTCATATTCAAAGATTTTATCTTTATTTGATCATATATATGTTTTGCACAAGAAAAGATGCTATGGCTTGAGAGTTGAGAGTAGGCTTACCCAGGGATGCGAATTCCGGCAAGCTGACATAATCAGGACAATCACTTTTTGCTACACATTCTCGGACCTGCAAGAATTTTAACGAGCCAAAATCAGCAGTAATTTATATCACAAGTGGCAGGGATTAATCAAATCCTAAAGGTATTCATGCCCACTTCTCCTCTTTATAATTTATAATGGTTCCTTTTCTAGCCTAACCAACTAGTTGAGGCATTTTTGAACAAACCACAACTGCATTTGGTACATCGGACTGCACAAGACTGGACAAAACTCACTGTCCCACATTTGGTGCGACATGAGGACAGGACAAAAATTCGCTGTTCTACATTGGAACGACATGGGAGAAGGACTGGGACTGGGTGGGATGAAAAATTGCAGTAACAATCTAGCTGTCCAGTCCTGCCCTCTTGTCATGTCCAATTATATCATGTCCAGTTCTATCATGTTGAATCCAATGATGGCTACATACCAAACGCTACCAGAAGGCCTAGGTATGAAAAGATGGTAATAATTGCAGTAAAAATTTAGACGTCTACAAGTCTATGTTAAAGATTCATCATAAGAAAAAATGTAACAAACCGTGAAATCTTTGTTAAAACACAAACGGACTTCCTCCAAAGCACCGTTTAAGCAGATCAACTGTGGGGTTGTATGGAAAGCATTTTCAATTGCAGAACTGATGCCACCTGCAGGATACTTCTCCGAGTTTGAAGGTACATAGCCAGCTTCAAAAAGAACTTCCTGAAAACAAGATAAGCTTTAGAATACCAAAACTAAGGTTGGACTTGGTTGGACCATGATCCTTGGCTAAGATAAAAACTCAAATTATCTATTTCGCATTCCATAACAAGAATTCTGGGTTTACTACCATCAAATAGCATCATGCAAAACAAAACGAACTTAAAAGACTAGATAGGAATTCTCTGTAGGACTAAAGCAGCATTGTAGATGTATCGACACATTGTTAAGGAAGAAATAATCTCCTCTAATACTTGATATGTGAAAAGAAATGAAGATGTTACACATATAGATAGTAGGGATATAGTGGGCTGGTCAATTAGTCAATTGAGGTTCTATCAAAGCTTACTTCATTCCTCTACAGTAATCCTTGAGGGGGTGATTTTTCAGATGTTTTATTATATTAACATCTCCACTGAGAAGCAGTTTAAATGAAGTAATTTCCACTAAAAAAACATACCGTGACGTTATATGTAAAATACAAATTGATGGTTGTCAGGAAATAGTTGTATTCCTCTCCTGTTACTGAAGACGCACAGGTACCATGTTTCTCTGCAAACAAAATGTAGTCGGTAAAGCATTTGGAACTTCTTTAGAAATCTATGAAGAGCATGATATGTAAGAAAGAAGCTGTCAGAAAACAGTGGTGAATCAAGCCAAGTAATGACAACTATGAGATGTTTGGTTAGAGGTATTAAGTAGTAATCAATGGGAATGAAAATAAAAGAAATTTTTTGGTTTTATATAATGTAACGGGTTCATTACTCAGAAGCCCTAATTCCAAATAGAAACTGGCCAATCCATGGGTATACCATGAAGTTACAAAGGTTGTACCCGTGAACCAACTCCCTACAGCAGAATAGGCACAAGGAAAGAGAAATAGGCCGGACCAGCCTACAAAAACGAAACGGTCCCTCCGTAGCCAGTCGTCCATAATATCAAACAAATCATTTTCGTCTTTGGTAAATTTACCAAGAGCTATAGTCATCATAACCCTCCTATTCTTCGTTTCTGGTTAAACTGGGGGGAAAGAAAATTCATTCCCCATTTTCATTCCCTTGTCATTTTCATTCCCCAGCTTGAACCAAACAGCCCCTATATATAGCTATGTCACTTCAAACAGTGCATATTTTAAGGCAGCATATGCATATAGTTGGTTCTTGCCACAACAGGCTGACCAAGCAAACTATTTAGCCATATGAACGAAGTCAAATTTATAGAATAGAAAAATAGTCTGTGTGAATATATCCATGAAAGTACTGCAGCAGGAATGAAGACGCTTACCCCACTGACAAACGTTTCCCCATTGAGCATGACAGGAAAATAGGGAAGCTTAGTTAGTTTCTCAGTTCAGTAATGGTCAATTGGTAAAAATCAACAAGATCATAGTTAAAACCCACCTCATGAGCCCAAAACAGTCCTTTTTTGCCATGACATGTTGATGATTTACTGCAACTTAGTGTTGGCCAATACTGTTCCAAAGCCCCAAACAGTGTCGAAATCTACAGATGGGAATAGAAATAATGCGTAGTCAGATAAAGTTACAGATACCTTTTAATGCTTAGACGGTTAGACTAGATCTGTTAATTTTCAAAGTATTCTGGTGGAAATCAAATTAGTTAGTGTATATAATATAGAGACTCAAGTTCCGAAAAGTAAGAACATGTGGAGAGGTTTATCAGTCTGATGTAAAATCCAAAAAGGAAAACAGAGAAAGAAACAAACTAATGATACTTTGCAATGTGTTTCTTGATATTTACAATTTAAGTGGAATATTGGAAGACATCTTTACAGATAGCAAGTCCACAAACAAATATGAGATGAGAACTAAGGCCTGCCTATTATCATATTCCGTATACTATCAGTGCTTACTCCTAATGAAATTTCACTGGCTGAGCCAACTCGACAACCAACACGCTTTTTTTACTACAAGTATATGATACCTTTGTGGATGGAAGGGTATAATTTTGGCTCTGAAAATCGTAATCTGAACTTTGATCATGTAGCTAATGTCAATATTAAGAAGTTATGGGTACATCATGTGTTTTTCGGGGACCTTGGGCAGCCTCCCCTCAACCCCGCTTGCTAATTGGTTAGCCAAACCATGACCAGGGGGCAGGAGGGCTGCCCCTTGGAAACCCAATTTTGGCAAAGTCTAAATACAATATTTCCGATTGCTTATGTATTATTTATTATGCATATTATTGATATGCATAATGCATGGTGCACAGTTATATCTCCTTTCATGTAACACTGTGACTGGTTGTGTATTTATTTGGTTTTGAAAATATGAATTGCATGTGGTGCCTTCTCTTACTCGTTCTGGTAGTAAATTCTTTACTCACCTTAACTCTCCTCAAATGTAGCTCAAGGTTTCATTTAATTCATGCCATGTACACTAGATAGATAGGTAGAGTAGATTTTGTAATCATTATGAATATCAAAGAAGGAAACCATATGGAAAGTAAATCAAGGAGGCAACCTACATGAAGATGATCTGCTCTCAATGGCGGATCCAGGATTAGTGATATCATAAAATAATCATCATAATATAAGATGAAGTAGATATTAATTATAAAATAAAATAAATTAAGAGACTCGGTTGTTAGTGTATTTACGTCATTAATAGACTTACACACTAATTTTTTTCAAAAATTTATCTATTAAACTTATGGATTGTTAGTGTATTTCCACTTGAGGCTTCTACACGTGATATTGTTCTTCTAAAAAAATCTTTCCATCTTCAAACAATTGACAACATTAACAAATTAACCCTGAGCAAATACCCAAAAGTCTAAAGAGTTAGCCTTAAATATAAACAAATTAACCCTAAAGAGTTATCCCCAAATTAGCCCCTATCGAATAACCCTAAAGTCTAGAGAGTTTTTGATTTATACACAAATTAGTCCCAACGAGAGTTTTGAATTAACCCCTTCCAATCGTACTTCCCTCGAGGTAAAAGATAATTTTCACAAAAAATTGAGATAATTTTTACTTTATTATTAGATTATGAATGACATGCTTAATGCATGATTAATTTCCTGGTGACAATGAATAATCCCTTGATACAAATATTGACTTACAGCCAGTTGCCTTCCAATGAATGGTATTCATCACAGCCTTGTACACTCTCTATCTTGGTTAGATGTGATGGTACAATAGTGATATTTAAATAGCTAATCATGGAGTTAGACCAGATCATAGATAATGGAATACTTAAAAAAATATTCATCGGCATCATAGTAATAGAATACCTCTACTTCATCAAAAGCAGAACCTGAGCAACATGATGGCCATGATCCATCATTGTAGTCTGGCCATAGTCCATCTGCAACATAAGACATTAGTCAGGAAGAATGTTAGTCATGTGTTCATTATATTGAATATATATATATATAGGGTGGGGTTCCAGGGAAAACCACAAAAAATGGAAAACCGAGGAAAACCCTAATAACCGTTCATTTGTCCGGTATGCACATGTGAATAAAAGTACTTGAAAATGTTCGCACATGTACATAAAATGCACACATGCGTAGAACCCAAGAACCATTTTCAATTACTTTTATGCACATGTGCATACCGGACAAATAAATGGTTAAAGATCTTCCTCGGTTTTTCGTCTTTTGTGGTTTTCCCCTAAACTTGAGTCTATATGTCTATATATAGAAGCCTAATGCAGGGGAGGGGTGGAGGAATTGGGGATTAACCTGTATGTGCATGCCTCTTACAATCCAACAACATCAATTAAGAGTGTGAAGATGTAATGACTTTAGTTGTCAGTTAAATGTACATGAGTAAAAGGTAATCATAGAGAACTTACGGATTGTGAATACCGATGGAGAATTTGCTCTGGAAAAACATAAAGACAGTAGTATACAGTAAGTTTTTCATCACTATAGTCCTCTTAATCAAAAGGCAACTTTGTGAAAATCAATAAAAAGGGAAAAACATATCTTAAACTGTTGATGGTTAAACAATAGAAAAACAAAATCTATGCTAAATAGAGATGAAGTAAAAGTTATAAAGTATATGTGTATCAAATACCTGGATTTTCCACATTCTTTCTCCAAAATTATCAACAATTAATTGAAATGAGAAACCGTCTAAAATTTTGGATTCTTAGTTGAAGCAACAAGCATTTAGTAAAGGTACACCAACAAGATTGTAACTAAATATACTGACTATTAGACTGCTTTCAAGTAGCGATTACCCAATTTTCTTTCAACAAACTGGTAGTAGATGAATCAACTGGAGCTCAATACCATAAAAATCAACAATAAAATACGACAAATAGAAAGTTGATTAATTACCCTCGGCAGCAAGCGCTTTGAGAACAGCATTTGGTGGACTTTGAGCAGTATGTTGGAGGCCATTGAAGAGCCAAAGCAAAGTAATCAAACACCCTTTGTTCGGCTACTGTCGACACTAATTCAACTGTTCCTCCGCCACCACCGCCGTTGACCTCGACGGAGTATAAAGATCCGACTAACAGAATCAATAGAAGAATCGGGATTGAAGCCATTGTTGTAATGTTGCCCTAATCAAATGTAATCTAAACTGAAGGGAGATGAAGATAGTCGTTGGTAGTTATATACACCATCGGAGTAAAATTAAAACGAAAAAAAGGTTTATTCCGATGTAAAGATTCTGTTTGGGTACGTAACGTAACGTAACGTAACTCTACCTTTTTTTACAAGTGTTTGATGCATAGATGCATTTGATGTACAAATGAAGCTGCTAATATACATACATATATATATATATATATACATATATATATATATATAGGGGCATATTCAAGGGAGAACTGAGTTGTTTGTGGTAACTGTGAGAACCCATCTTAACCACAAATCAACGGATAAATAAGRAAATTAGTAATTATGGTAATTTGAGTTAAAATTATAATTAAAGGGCATTTTAGGTATTTTTAAAAAACTCATCTCTCCGACCTCCTATCTCCGATCTCCGGSCTYCGGTGAACATTAATCCGGCAGGTACCAATGTATTACCAATTGGGGTACCACCATGTACCACAGAATTTTCACTNGTCTCCTCCTTTCCCAATCCATCTTCTCCGGCCACTCTGTGATACCCATTACCCAATGTATTACCAATTGGGGTACCACCATGTACCACATAATTTTCACTCGTCTCCTCCTTTCCCAATCCATCTTCTCCGGCCGATACCCATTACCCAATGTATTATCAATTGGGATACCACCATGTACCACAGAATTTTCACTTATCTCCTCCTTTCTCAATCCATCTTCTCCGGCCACCCTGTGATACTCATTACCCAATGTATTACCAATTTGGGTACCACCATGTACCATATTACCCAATGCAACGTGCTCTCCGTGGTATTAAACCGCTCTGCAATCCCACTCACCGTACTCCCCGCTTGCACAAAATGTCCATAGTGCACCACCGCCTGGCCCTCCACATYATCACAGCTACACGGCAATGGGATCCAAAACCTCTGACCGACCGATATCATATCCGGATTGGGTATGTTATTAACAAGCTGGATCTGCGGGAACGTCACCACTCTGGAGAATACCTCGGCGGCGATATGGAATAGGGTGTCGTTAGGAA